GTTTCACCCTATAGTTCAGGATCATGGCGCAGAGTTTTTCACAGCACTGGGGTTTAGGGGCAGGGAGGGCGAAATAGACTTTAAGCGGGTAGAATTAACTAGAAGGAGGTTATCTGATTGGTGGCTAAAGTCAAGGCACGAGTGAAAATTAAACCCTTCACTACAAAGTACGAATCCTCAACTTCACTATATAAAGAAAAAAATGTAACTTTTGGTTCATTAAGTATTACGGCTTGGTGGCGCTAGCCACTGCCTGATCTAAAGGGTATAGCCATATCAATCCAAAACGTGACTTGATGCGCTCGTTTGCCTCCGCTGCACGCTCGAGGCACTCTAACCCAGTGCCTCCAGATTACCATTCACGGATTTTTTTTGCGCAGAACATTGAATAAATGTTTTGTTCACTCTCTCTACGCGCAAGACGATCGTCTTTCGGCGACATTTGCAGATTAACATGCAGATACGGGCCAATTTTTTTCGATTCCAGCTGGATATTGCGGCTTTGCAGGAATAATAGGCGGCGACTGAGATGTCAAACCACGCCAAAGAAATCGTACGTTTCGCTAGCTTGGACATAACATATTGAACTTAGGATAAAAAAAGAACTTCGATTATTTGCTCTTGCCTGTATATGCGCTGCATTTGATGTATATACCGTACAAAAGTCCTCTTATGTTTAATATCCTTGGCTAAGCTGTAGATTGTGAGAATGTTTTTTCAATTTACGTGTCACAATATACCGATATTACTGCTATTTGCTGAGTGGCAGATATTAAAGTCAAGACAGTTTATAGAACAGATGCGCTGTGGCTCGCGACAGTGCAAATAGTAGCTGAAAACGCACAGGCAGTTGACGAAGCCATACTCTCGGTGAGGAAGTCTAGTGCGTTTCACCATTTCACTAATGTGCGTACCGCCGTCCAAATATTTAACTAGCGCGCTGGAGTGGTGACTTTTTGTGCGTCAGTGTCATATGATGGAGCAAAGTTGCGAAAAAGGCGAGGGTTAACACATGTTCACAAAGTGCTCATCTGGGCCCCTCCTTCTGCTAGGCTGTCCCATCTTACGGTACCTAACCAATATTAGCCCACTTCAGGAACCTATACTCTTTGGAACATCTCATGAATGGGGGCGTGTCTCGTATCTTCAAATTTTATTTCCTCGATTTCTTGCTGCAACATTCATATTCGGACCATGAAAAAGAGAGAAATAGATAAAATGAAAACACGTGAAGGTCGACCTGGATAAAGAACCGATTTGCCACCACGTACAGGGGCGGGAAACTAGGGACCCAAAAGAGGATAGAGAGAGCTAGGGATATATAAAATAAATAAATAAAGCATGCACATGCAAACACAAGCTAGACGTTCCGATGATAGTCGTCTGGCGAGACCAGTTGAACGCACAACGCACGAAAGCACCTGCACAGCCTTCTTCTGCGATGTTCGTAACATGAAATGCGAGCGAAGGCCATGCCACCTGTTGTGCAGAAAGATGTATAGGCTGTCCCGGCTGGTTGATGTTCATAGATTAGAGCAGTGCAAAAGACCAAATCATGAAACAAAGAAGACCACAGGACAAGAAGCCGATATGACGACTGACGTCATTTATTTAGACCAGCGCTTTGTTCGGTGGGCTTCTTTGTCTTCTGCTTCCATCTTTTGCGCTGCTCTAAACTATGATGCCTGTTAGCGTGAAGGGTGGCTGTGACGTCCTTAGAGGAGAATATCCCAGCAAACGGTAACCCAAACTGAGCACGCGCTTTGTTGGCAGGCGCTTGCTTCTTACGTACAACTTCGCGCCGCCAGCTGCAGTGTAGCTAGAAATTTTGGGGCTGTACTTCCATTTGGCTTCTGTCATCAGTTCTTGCAGTCTGTTTTCTATACGAAGTGATGGTGCATTTTCCGGATCAGCTCTTACACAATGTTAGTCAGTCATTACCCCCACTTTAGTGAAAGAAGTCAATAGGTATCTTTTTCCTGTGCCGTGGAAAGTTTAGTAGCCTAAATAAGCAGCTAGTCTGCAAAAACTAGCTCCTGTCAGCTTTTCTTTATATTGACACTGACATATAGTGTGCTCGTTCAATGCAAATGGTGGGAAATACACCTACTTCACACAACTCTATATATGCACCTGTTTGTAGCACGAGTAGTAAAGGCCTGACAGTATGAGCAGCGAGCCTTTCTTACTTTCGTTATCTCAGTTCGTAAGAGCAACCCAGAGAAACAGCGGAGAAAATACCAACACTATAAACGCATTTCCCTCATACCTGTGCGTTCCGCTAACATGTTAAACTGCCACCTCTCCGACTAGTTCAAGCTTCAGTGAACTGGAGTGCTCTGGCTTGATTGTGTTGCCTTCGCGAGCTGTGTAAAATTTCGGTCTTTTATGGTTTCTTACGAGTACTTATAGGCTCTACTGCATCTGCTCGCTAGTGCAGTTTCGGCCAATTTATCGCTATGGCAGAAGAAAAGCTACGCGCTGATGCACCCAAGGAATCAATTATCGCGCTTTTCTTGCTTCTTGATCAAAAACCTTTTGTCCCTAATTTGTCACGAAGAACTGAAAGAAAGAGCTTATAAAATAATGGCTATTAGTTTTTACTTTCGTGAAGTTGCCTTCACCTTACGGACTTCTCTGCTTGTGATTTGCCGTGCCCTGTCACCCATCATTTCGATGATCTTTATCATACACCGGATACGCAAAAGAACCTGCTGAAGTCTCCCTTGCCATGTCTTCTTTGCCACGTAAAATTAATGTACAAAGGGCCGACGGCGAGCGTACGTGAAGGTCGTCAGTGACTGTCAATGACAATTTTGGGAGAATCGTGTAAACCTTTTTTATGGTGTAGCGCTACGTGACTGAAGTATCGGTATCACCCTTACTATTCCACGCTCCAACGTGGTCAGTACCAGCACAGTGACCGCGTTTGGGTGTTGATACTGACGTGAAGGTTGGCATGTTTTCTGGGGCTGTCACACTCATAAACGTGTGAAACATTACCATTTGAAAGGCGAGAATTCGTGTAAGAGTTCAAGATCATCTATCAGAGGACTTACAGGGGTTTCTGTGGAACATGAACTCGTCTCGCATGGACAATGCATGCAGTGTTTATGCATGTTTATTATCAAAGCGTGTCACCTCGTTCTGAAACTTCTTGAAGATGCTGATCTATTCAATGAGTGGAGACCTTTAGGAATTGTTCGCAAATGTCACCAACCCCTTGATGTAACAAGTGTTGAATATTGGGTGACTTGACCCATCACACTTGAAAGGGTGTAGCGCATTACGGTATAAAGAAAACATGGCCGAGCAGACCAACACAAGAAGACAAACGCCGACTTCCTGTTAGAAATTAGCACTCTGTTATCTTAGTTCGGTCTGCTCGGTAATTTATTTTTTACCTTAATGCGCTATACCAGTTAAGACACCCTTCGAGTAGTAGATTTACACATTCTGAATACGAAGGAGTTATAGAGAGCACTAGCACCTATCTTTTGCTCCGAACAAGTGTTTTCATCTGTGTTGGTACGTTAGATTTGCTCTTAGTCTGTTACATGTTTATTCTTGCGTTTTTGAAGGAGATTGTGGAGCGAAAAAAATGACAGCATGCGTTTGCAAGGCTTATGCACATGGCTACCACAATCCTCATCGGAGTGAATGGCAATGCTCGATGGCAGGGCTCGAATCAGAGCTCGATTTTTGTTGACCGCCAGTACCATACGTATAAGTCCCAAAGTATATCATTATCTGAAATAGTGGCGCACTGTTTATTATTATATTGCACTATTTGTAAAAGTTTACCATCAAAATAGCTAGAATTGATAACGTTCGAGAAATCTATGTTCTGTGAACCAAAATCCCGAGAACCGCGAGACATTTTCTGAACAAAGAAAAAGCTCGTTAGTGAACAGATACAAATATCACAAGCAACACTTTATTTGACAAGAACATCGTGTACATTATTACATAAACATGTACCACGCGAAACTGGAAATGAACAATGGTACACTATGCATAACACAGCTGAAAACATGAACTAGCATTGGTGAACGCGAGATGTCCACAGGATAAATATGGCAGCTGCAATCACGAATATGTACAACTCAAACGCATTATCGCTAAAATGTTTGACGACATCCTTCTTGAGCATTAAGTGGTGAGCCCGCCCTTTTTCGCGCTTCAATCCTTCAATAGTACAAAGAGATGTTGAACAGAGTGTGCCAATAAGTCGGAAAGAAAACCTAATCATCCATGTTTCTCATAAAAAGCACGCAAAACATCCACATGCTCACAGTTGTAGTTCTAATTGACAGTAAAAAAACGATAGAGGTAGCAACAGGGTTGTTGTTCTACAATGGTACACCAAGTAGGCTGTTAGTTTTAGCTCTTCATGTCCCATGATTATTCGGCAGAACTCGAGGACCGACAGTGAAGTTTGGCACCGGTCTTTCAGCTCTCCGCTCTATCCAATGAACGTGCGCCAAAAACAGTCCAATTTGTAAACTTTTAGCAAACACCTTCCCGGGCTTGTCAATATCCTTTTTGTTCCGTTAGTTTTTTGTGTTTTGTTTTTTTTTTTTGCTGTTGTTGTTGTTAGGGAAAACTTGCCTTCGTTTGACTTGCTCTTCAAGAGCATGCGATATTTGGGAAAAAAATATGTGACCCTCGTTGTCATTTATACGCTTTTTATCACACTGATTTCAGACAGATGTCACTATACCCTAGATAATATAGACCGTTGTGTCACGTTACACATTTAAAGTGAAGAGGAAATGAAATAGTGTAATTACTTATCGTGAGTCAAGATTTACACATCTCGCGCTTTGTCACGGCTCCAGCCCAGCAAAGTTGCAGGTTCTCTTGCTTTCGACTTTTAAGGTGTCATTGCTGCTGAAACATAACTAAGTATGAAAATTTATTCTTCTGGTTCTTGCTACAACATTCAGGTTGGGGCGACCATTCGGTTCGAAAATATGCCCCCCCCCCCTTCAAAAAAAAAAAGACTGGATACGATGACATCGAATTTTATGGATCATGCAATATCTCGCAGAAAAAACTCGTAACACGGGTTTTCTTTTTCAAAAGAGAGAAGAAAAGTGGAGATGAAAAAGATGTATTCCTTCACGTCAGCCTTATATTGCGGTATTGTGCCTCAAAGCTGCCATTTGTACTAACAACACAGTCTTAGCTAATGATCGCCCTCTCGTGGTTCACTAGGAAGGTATCCCTAACAGATCGCCCAAGATGTTCGGACGGCTAAAACATGGCATAAATTAGGAGTTACAACAGTGACGAAATGAGTAAATATTGACACATTTGACGTAACGTAGGACATAGTAGGAAGAGGAGCACGTCAACCAGATGTGCAGTCAGTAAATATTTTTTTTTCAAATAACGTACCGTGCTTTCCATAGCTCTTGAATAAATACTCAAGTTCCTTTGCAAAGCCATTTCTGCCCAAAACACAAACACCTACCATTATCATTTTTTAAATCTCCCTCAATCACAGCAGTGACTTTTATGCTCATACGCAACCAAGCCTTCGGACGTCCAGCACACCTGGTGCACGAACACCAAACGGGCTTAGCAAGTCGAAGGGGCCCGGCAAGGGGATGATAAATACAGTGAAACGGCATCGACTGCACAGTCTACGCTCAGAGGTAACTTGACTGGCCGGGGGATGCTGCAGTGCCATTGGTGGCCGTTTCCGCCTTGGGCTTGTACAACATTTGTGGATTGAGCATGCCACTTTTGTCCTCCACGTAAGGCACGGTGCTCTTGTCGTCGTGCAGCTGCGGCCGCCGCTTAGGCATGAGCAGGAGCTTCTCGATGCGGCCTGTGGGCGCCTCGCAGGCCACAAATAGGATGTAGCTGAGCAGGTAACTCGCCACCAGCGCGCCGAAGTACTGCGTCACCTGCAGCGTCAACAGGAAGCACACGTAAGTCGGGGTCATTGTCTCACGCTTCTTTTTTTATTTTCTCTTTGCCTCGTTTCTATACGTGTACATGATAGAGTACACATGTATTTTTCGTATTGTACCGGATACTTCATTACTTCTTAAGTCGCCGTGATCAAGCAAATTGCTTCTTGCATAAAGGATTGCATAAAGCAGTCAAGAAGGTCAAAAAACAAGCACATATTCTCATGACGCATCCTTTCCTGACCCATGACTAAAATACATCCGTTGCTTACTTTAGTAAGGAGTTTCAAAGTAAAGAAATAAATTACAACTCTGTCAGTTTTAAATTGTGGTGTAGTGTTAGTACGGCCTCCAGAATTATCCATTTTCTTTAAAGTATCAGGAAGTGCTACTGGAATACTGTTGTGGCATGTTGTACGTAGTGTTTAGACTACCACAGCCATTTTTTGTAATAACATAGATAGATTACTTCTAGGTGGTGGGCTGTTTAAAGAAAATAAGTAAATCTTGATGGGAAGGCCTTAAGTTTCTAGTTGAGTGGTAACCTTGAGCGAGAAATGGCAGGCTAAAAAGTAGTCTTGTTCTGGTAAAACCCACATGACTTTCTCCGAGCGAGTGGTGGTGCAGAGGAAACATCTGGTCGTGACGTCATTACGTGACGTCATTCTGACGTTACAGATCGCAGAAGTGCGTAACGGGGTATTATGATTTATTTATTTATTTATTCGAGTACCTACAGCGCCCAGTTTGGGCATTACAGTAGGGGGGAGGAGACATAAAACTTGAAATTGATACAGGGTATGAATACCGATAACAAAACAAGTAAGCATGCTCAGCTTATACAGTGTGTACACATTCTCGGGAACATGAGGCAATCAAGGAAAAGTAATTGATTGATATGTGGGGTTTAACGTCCCAAAACCACTATATGATTATGAGAGACGCCGTAGTGGAGGGCTCCGGAAATTTCGACCACCTGGGGTTCTTTAACGTGCGCCCAAATCTGAGCACACGGGCCTACAACATTTCCGCCTCCATCGGAAATGCAGCCGCCGCAGCCGGGATTCGAACCCGCGACCTGCGGGACAGCAGCCGAGTACCTTAGCCACTAGACCACCGCGGCGGGGCAATCAAGGAAAAGTAAAACACAAACAGAAATGCAGACAGAAATTGGCATCTTTCATTTCAACAAAAATTGTGACAGAGCATTATGAAATGAGGGTGGCGGGGTGGATACATTATATTCTGGTAGGTTGTTCCATTCGTTGGTGGTTTTCGGGAAGAAGGAGTTTTTGTAAGTATTTATGCGACATCGGTATTCGCGAACTTTGCGGGAGTGATCTAGGCGAGAGGATACATAAGTGGAATCTTTAATGTACACGTCTTTATTTAAACCAGTGCTACCAATATAAATATTATGAAATAGATATAATCTTAAGAATTTGCGCCTGTCCTGCAGGAGAGGCCAACCCAAATGTTTACGAATGCACGAAGAGCGGTTAGTGAAATCATAGTTACCAGACACAAAACGCGCTGCTCGTTTCTGAACCCTTTCTAGCGCATTAGTACATATTTTAGTGTCTGGATCCCAAGCCACACAACCGTACTCTAAAATTGAGCGAACGTTAGAAAGATAGAGTGTTTCCTTTAGTTTAGGTGGGGCCTGTTTAAAGTTACGCTTCAGGAAGTTTAATACACGGCTCGCTTTAGCACCGACGTATTCAATGTGGTCGTTCCAGGATAGGTTGCTCGTAAAGAAAACGCCTAGGTACTTATATTTAGACACAACTTCCAAACGATTGTCTCCAAGAAAGTAATTCGTATTTAGAATGTTCTTTTTGTTTGTGAAGCGAACGGTATTACATTTTGAAAAGTTAAGTGTCATGTTCCATGTGGTGCACCATGATAACACAGCATTTAGATCACTTTGTAGTTGAGCAGAATCTTGAGCAGACGTGACGTCACGATATACGCAGCAGTCATCTGCATGCATGCGCATGCGGCTGGATACTTGTTGGGTTATATCATTTATAAATATCAAAAAAAGAAGGGGTCCCAGAACAGATCCCATGGGGACCCCTGATAAGACATCGACTTCAGATGAATTCACTCCCTTGAGAACAACCCGCTGTTTTCTACCAACAAGATACGCTTCAAGCCACTTCAACAAAGAGGGAGGGATATTTAGAGCAGACAGTTTAAGTAATAATAAATTGTGTGATACAGAATCAAAGGCTTTTTGAAAATCTAAAAATACACAGTCCACTTGGCATCCATTGTCGATCGAGGCAGCTATATCATGACTAAATTCAATTAGTTGAGTATCGCAGGACAACCCTTTTCTGAAACCGTGTTGCGTAGTGCATAAAAAGTTATTATTTTGAAGATGAGAGATTAAATTGGTATAGATAACGTGTTCCATCAATTTACATATTACACAAGTTAGCGAGATCGGTCTGTAATTTTTTGTTCGCGTTTTGTCTCCAGCTTTGAAGATAGGGGCAACGTTGGCACTTTTCCAGTCGTCAGGTAAAGAGCCAAGCGCCATTGATTTTTCGAAGAGCAAGACTAGAAATGGTACAAGTGAGGCAGCACAGTTTTTTAAAACATAATTAGGAATAGCATCAGGACCAGGTGCCGCATTTACCTTAATTTTTTGTAGCAGAGCTAAGACTCCACGTTTAGTAAAACATATTTCAATCATTTCTGAATTTTTTCTGACTAACTGAGGGTCACTGGGTAGGCAAACTGATTGGGTGAAAACAGACTGAAAATAAAAATTGAATCTCTCAGCTTTGCCCTTTAAGTCTGCGCTGAAGTTGAGGTCATCTATAACATCTGGAATCGTTTCCTTCACAGCCTGCTTGCTTTTAACGTACTTCCATACTCCTTTCGGGTTATTTTTGATCCTATCAGTTAGGCGACCCAGATGCTCAAGTTCAGCACAGCGCATCTGTTTAGCAACACTCTTGTTTAGTTCTTTTAACGTTTCATGTAGCTCGCGTTGAGGTGTCTGGCGGTACTTTCGATACACGCGGTGCCTGCGATTAATCAAGGCCTTGAGGCTGTTGTTCATCCAGGGCTTACTAGTTCTACGCTTTGAGGAAAGCACCCGTGACGGAACATTAGTGCGTATCAGTGATAAAAGCTTAGTTTTGAACAAGTGCCATGTAGTATTCAAATCCAGGTTGGTAGCATGTTGTCTGAACTCCGGTAAAAACTGATCTAGCTCTCGGGAAAGAGAGACATAATCTCCGCGATTATAATAAAACACTTTTCGCGGTAACGGCTTCGGGCGGCGCACGATATCGCAACTTATTGTTCCAACAACGACTTCGTGGTCGCTGATACCTGGTATTGTTGTGACAGAAGAGATTAGAGTTTGGTCATTGCAAAAAATGAAATCAAGCACATTATTGCAAGAGGAACCTAGTCTGGTAGGACGAGATACAAATTGAAATAGCGAATGAGCGTTAATCATTTCACAAAAAGCAGAGTACAGAAGCGACGACGTGTTAGATTTAGGCTGAAGATGGACCCATTCAATGTTTGGCAAATTAAAATCGCCCGCAAAAATAACACGCGTTGCATCTAGAGCTAGTAAAATATTGCTAAGCTGAAACAATGACTCGGGGCCTTTCTGTGAAGGTGGCCTGTAAAACGACCCGATAGCCACTGCGGAGCCGTTAGCGAGGATAACCTTACACCAGACCGTTTCGCATGATGGGATATTTAGGTTTATTGGCACGCTACTGATAGCACTGTGGACAAGGACGAAAACGCCCCCACCATGCACATTGCGATCTTTTCGATATGCCGTATAGTTCGGCGGGAAAATTTCGCTGTCAGTTATGGTGTCATCCAACCACAACTCAGTGCCCACAACGACGCGTGGCTTTACTAGTTCAACAAGTGCACCAAACTCCTCCTTTTTGTTCTTGAGGCTACGGCAATTTACAACAATTATTTTAAGTTCTGTTACAGCGTCTGTCTTTTCGCGCGATAGAGGTTGAATTCGTGGCTATCGGACATTGCACTTCACGCTATCACTAGCCGCGTAATACCTAAAAACTTGTGTGCCTATCTTGAGCTTATTGAAGTTCAGCTTGAAATCACCACCGCGTTCTCTAGCAAACTGGAGTAACTTTTTACGCTCCAATCTAACCTTTTCAGAGTAGCCTTCGCTGATAGAATAGTCGGTTCCCTTTAGTTTTCGCGCAGCGGCAAGCACCCGTTGTTTTTCTTTAAATGACACGTACTTCACTATTATCGGCCTGTTGTTTTGCTGTGAAAAACGCCCAAGCCTGTGGGCTCTTTCTATCGATGTTACAGAAGCATCAACGCTTAGTTTTTCGGAGCAAAAAGTCAAAATTCGTTCCTCAGATTCCGCCCACGTTTCACCAGCGGTATCATCAAGACCATAAAATAGCAAGTTATTTCGGCGTGATCTATTTTCTAGATCGTCTTGGCGTTCGCGCATGGAGGCAAACGATGCAGCAAGTGGTTCAACGCAAGCCGTCACTCTCCCTACTTCTTCTTTCAAAGGTGGAACACATGATGCGCTGGCTTCAGCACACTCGACCTTAGCCGCGAGATCAGATACGTTTTGTTTGATAGCTTGTTGCTCACAGCGTAGGGTGCGAATTTCATCAAGAATGTCTGACTGCTTCTGCAACATCTGAGGGATTTGCATGATCGCAGAAAACATTTTTTGTTCTTGCTCCTCGGAAAAGGGGCCAGGATTCTGCTCGATATCGCCGGACAGCAGCAAAAGCAACCCAACAATAACATCTCCGCTTTCCGAGTAGTTTGTAACAACATAAAATAAATCACAAATAAGCACACTGCCACATGTGGGATCTGACGCCAGCTTTCTAAACGGTTTTCCATATACACAACGATAGGAATAACCAACCTGCAGAAACAGTAGGCGACGTCGCGTCATACTGATGATGACGTCGCGTCATACTGATGTCATCATGACTCCACGTTCAGTGCTATGTTTAACATTGTTTTGTCATCAGTGCTTTAAATATTCAAAAATACGTTGCATCTCCAGGTAGAAAAATATGACTATAAGGGATACTGGTGTTAACCTTGATTAGCTCAATCAAGACTACGTATGCGTGCAAAGTAGTCTTTTTGGTTAAGCGAGGGCTTCCTTAAAGCTTCATTTCACAAGGACTCGCACTGCCTTTGCGGCAGTTATCTTTTCTTTTCTAAAGAAGAGGTGTTCGGAGGAACATTTTCACGCACGTGCGGATCCAATTGTGACCACTCACCATGGTGTAGTGAGAGAAGAATATCCTCTCCCTGGTGACGTTCAACCGGATGAAGTAGTACGGCACGTGCAGCAGGTATACACCGAATGAGAGCCGGCTGAAGGGCACGAACGCGCTCCATGATAGCCACTTAGCGATGAAGCCTGCGTGATTGAAGAAAATAAGTACGCCATGATAAAGCATAAATCGCAAATGGTGCAAGCTGTCATCGGCTTAGCTTGTTAAGCAGTGTTAAAAAAGTGATACAGGGTTAAAATAAACAAGATCTTCAGTCTAAAGCACGAAGCGACCTGCCAGTGACAAACAGTGCAATGTGTTGTTTGTTATAAGCAGGTCGCATTCACACAATATGACCGGACATCATATCTTGTCATAACAGATTCAAGCATCACGCCTAGTCTGAATGTACACTTACGATAAATTTTATCGAAAAGATGATTCACGCGAAGACGATTTCCTATTTGATAAGGATATTTAACAAGAAATTTAGTTTCTTTCTCCATAGACTAAGTTATCATAAAGTGGTGTGAAAGGAAAAGAAATCAAATAATATTGCCCCAAAATCATACGCAAGTGATAGAGAGCACTCACTGTAGTGAAGAATCCCCATCTAAATGCGCTACCTGCGGCCAGGAATCGAACTTGGGACCACGTACCAAGCAACGCACCTGCGTACCACTGCGCCTTCACCAAGAATAGCGATCCCTTTATTAAATGCGAAGCATTTCTTTGCGTAGTGCAGATATTTCCGCCTTTTTATAGAGGTATCTATCTATCTACCCAGCTACATCCCAGCTACATCTGGTTGGTCTCGTGAACACCTCCTTAACTTGAGGTAGACCAAAATCAGCATAGAAAAGTAAGAGGGTTATGCGAATATGTATGCCTCTTTATGACACGAATAACGTTAAAATTCTCTCCCGTACCACTTCGAGCCCATTTCTCCCAACCCGTGTGACCCACACCCGTATACCGTCCATGGGCCGACATATGTGTGTATATGCACAGCAGGTGCCTGACAGTTCTTATCTACCGAGGAACGGCGAGAACAGACATTCGTGATTTAAATACGAGAGCGTTAAGGAAAACTGATGCAGGCAGCGTTGACTTGACGAATGTAAAGAATAAATGTTATGTTCCCAGCAGGAATAGAACCCAAGCATTCTGCGTGGCTGTCAAGTATTCTACCACATAGCCACGCCAGGTCTTGGAACTGCTTGCGAAAGATACCCTACGCAGGATTAATGCGGGTGAAACGCTAATTGTAGTTGCAGTGCTGCCTATCTAATTTTTTAAACATCACATATGTACTGCGACGATTGAGACGTCCCGTCAGGTTAGCGTCAATTCTACTTGAGCGCCATCCAATCAAGTTGGCCTGCGTAGCATTATACAATTGCACAAAACACAAGTGCTGTGGATAGTTATAGCACAAGAACAAAACGACGACACAGAGACAAGAAGGACACGAAGCGCTCGTGTCCTTCGCGTCCTTCTTGGCTCTGTGTCGTCACTTAGTTCTCGCGCTATAACTATCGTCATGCCATACCAACTAGCCCAAGCTGCCACACAAGTGCTGTATTTCAGCTTACCGCTACTGGTGTTGGTAATACCCATGTTGCTCTGTGCACCACTACGCAACTGTAAACAACTGGTTATATAAAACACGTGTGACCGTTCAGTATGATTGTCTGTGCGTATAACATTTGCACATATGTTTAGCGCCATTTCGTAATGTTTAGCTAAAAAAATTACAACACAGTCACCTTCCCTCTACATGCTTCGCATGATATCGATTCCCGTGGTACGTGGGTCTGCCAAATGTTTGCTTTAGCAGTCAGCGGAGTTGAGCTCTTCGCAGAAAACGCTAGGGCAAAGTTTTTGCAGTGTTAAGACGAACCGTAGAAATCAATGTAAAAAGATAACCAAAAACGCCGACGCCAGGTACCCGCCTCCCCTGCCTCCTTGGCGCACGTTACGATAGACGTATTTCCGTACTCACCACCCCGTCCTGTGGAACATGCAAAGGTGAGCCAGGCGAGCCAGACGGACCAGAGTAGCCTCTCAGAGAAGGCGAATGACAGCTTGGCCCACTCAGGCGGGTGCTCGCCACGGTTCCAGTCGTACATAATCAGGATGGCGGTGAGACCGCACGCAGCGCTCATCAACCACATACCAGCCTGGAGCATCTGAAAACACATCGTCCAGAGTAATGACACATAGTCAATTGTTTAAACCCTCACACGCTACCCAACGTTTTCAGCGTTTTTTAATCAATAATTTCGCGCCATAATGTTGTTTTACTATTTTCAATTATTTATTATTTTTTACTGTTACCAGCATTTAGTACCAAACGCTCATTTTCTTATAAAGAAAATTTTCTGTTACGGGCTCAGTCACTTGACTGAGTTCTTATAGCACTCAGAATAGTATGCCTTAACAATCAAGCATAAAGCATGCTTAAAGGAATACTAAGGCCAAATAATAAGTCGGTGTTGATTGCTTGAAAAGCATTCTAGAAACCTCGTAGTGTTTGTTTCAAGCCAAGGAAATGGTTCAAGGGATAGAGAACCACGTTTTAGTGTGCTACATGTCGTTAGCTCAATGCAAACCGCCCGCGTGCAAGAACGGTCATGTGACGCAGCATTCGTCATGCTATCCTTTAGCGGTGGTGCGCTTCTGTATGTGTTGTACGCGTTGATAGAAAGCGAAAGTGTATGCGACTCCCCAACATTCAGTGCCGCGCTACATTTGTGTAATAGCGAAGCATGCTGGGCGAGTTACTGATACATGATGATAAGAACAGCGCAAACGTAAAACACGAGACAAAGAAAAAACATACACGACGACATGAATGCTGATAATGTCAGGGAGAGTGTAGAGGATTTGGAAATTACACGTACGGAAAATAGGTGTTTGAGCGTTACCAGTGATGTTCCCTACTACGCCGCAGAATTCCTATTCAGAGACATGAAAATTTCCTAATTGGAGGAATTTCCCTGCAAACTTTGACAAAATTCCCAGCATAGTTTCCTGCACAACAGTACTGATTTCCGCCCCCGTACATTGTGGGCTTCCCGTCTAACACAAATAGTGAACTAGACATCGCTTCGCGTAAATATCAGAAACAAATTTCAAGGGCTACCTATGCTTGTGCGGTGCATGCCGCAGAACTGATTACAGCAGATGAAGGCACACTGTGACCGCTAATTATCGGTAGTCAAAAAAATTGACCAATCTGGAAATTTCCTGCGAAATTCCGCAGACTCCCTTTTTTCCTTTGGCTCAAAATGACAGCCGCAACTTTTCCGAAAAAGGAAAAATTATCTGCACGGAACATCACTGAGCGTGACGTCTCTTGTACTATCCTATTGTAAGCAATAAGCACAAGGCTCAGTCATTGAATGGATATCACCTTCTGCTTCTTGCTTATGGGTTGTTTCGGTGTTTGCACGTCGTAAACGCAAGAAATAAAGGTGTTGCAGCCAGCGCTCGTGATGGTGTATTTTTCTTATTCGTCCCGTCTTTCACGTTCGCGCTGCTCTCACCTCCATTACATTTGTCAATACTGCGCCGCATGCTCTTGGCATCCTCGGGTAACGGGCAGTGACGCTGAGCACAGCGGCGCTTCTTTGCTCATTTCGTAACTAACGACAACGTGGCTGTCCAATAGCAGTCTTCGTATACACTGTGTACTGAATTCTTCCTCCGATCCCACATGTTGAACAGCGTGGGCGATTATGCCTTTGTCGTAGGGTAAAAGCAGACACACAGATTGGTGACCTGCGCGGGCGTTGCGCCTGATGTCTGTGGTTTCTAGAGTGGCACTTTGATTTGATTCAATGTTTCGAACGAATGGGTGTGCAGCGTGTATTACGAAAAATCACACGAAGAAGCAACTCACGACGCACTCATTCTAACTTATGTCCTCCTCCGTGACGCAATGCATTATCTGCATGCCGAAGGTACACCTGCTAGCCTAGGTAGCAATCTATTGAATTAAGTTACTCTTCGATTGATACTGAACATAGTATAAAACTCCATTTATTCCGTTCTTCTCTCTCAACCTTCTGCATTCTGTGCGTCACACCACACCAACACAACATCTAAAATAGTATATGGCTTCGTCATTTAGTGATATTAGGGTGTACAAAGCCACAGAATTTGAAACAAAAAACAAGGAATCCGGTTCTCACCTTGCTCATTTTAATTGAGGGATACCTGTATAGGAACAGCTGCGTGATCGCACCGAAGAAAAAGGCGACGCCATGGTATGACGGGTGAGTATAAAACTTGTTCAACGTCCCGGTCATAATCCTGCAAACGCAAGAAAAAGAGTAGTGTTTTGAGGGCTCTGACAGTAATTTCCGCGCATTGAAATTTTCGCGTCAATATACGTTCAAAGGCTGGCATTGTCAGAATAACTGTGTAATCGTGGTTACGGCCTCTTTCATTGATCAGGAGTCTGCTTTGGGACGTTAGGCTTCCAACATCACTACCTGTTCAGTTGCTCAAGGGACACGATATCACAAAAAATCTAAGCATCGTACAGTATTAGCTCTCAAAAAATAAAAGAAGCCTACATGATTTCAAAACAAGCATGAAAAATTTGTTTAAAATGATGTACAAAAGTCAAAACTACAGTTGTGCTACATATTCCGACAGCCACATTCTATTTCACCATTTCCTTTGGGGCCATAACGTTGACAACAGCACATGTAAGTTTCCCAGCTAAACTAAAAAAAATCTAATAAATTCCGGATAATCATACGAGGCTGTCCTCTAAACGAAGTCACACGATATTTTATATTTCAATTAAGGGCATATTCAGTCAACCTTAGTTTGTAACATTAGTTGCAAGCAAACGAAAGAGGTCTTACGTAAAGTTGTCCGCCATCGGAAGAACAAAAGGCGTGTAGATGGTATTTGAAACTTGCCAGGCAGAAATCGAGCAAGCAATGAGGGAAAGGGTCCCAAACACAATGATTGTGGTCCATATTTTTCTGCAACATAAAATGGCTCATGTTAGGCACGCGTAAGAAACATCCTCTCAGTATACAGAAGAATCAGATGCTCCGAAGAAGTTTTGTAGATGTGAATACGTTTAACTAACTTTATTTTAAAGGTTAATCATTATCTTGCGCTAAACTACTTTCTACCGGAAAGAAAGAGCATTGATTAAGAACTGCGTCCACTGCACTGTGAATGAAACAAAATTCTCAAAAACCACTGTCCCCCCTTCTTGTTTTATTGAATAAACTTGAATATGAATAAAATTGCTTTTTATATCATACTGGTGGTTCACTCATATATACGTCTTCAATTGCTCGATCTTCATAATTTTTATTTCGTATTATTATCTGGTGAAAGTGTCTTACAATGTTTTTGTTTTATTTTTTTCTTGTTTGTTAAGTTCTAGGGCTTAATTTTATTGTATAGACAGCCAACAATTAACAATCTTGAATAGAACGAACATTGCGCCATACATGAATCTGTGTACAATAGCTATTCTTACAAATTAGTTCAATTTACAGAGATCTGTACAGTAGCCGAGACAACCACGACCTTAATACTGTAAGAACAAGCAGTAACTCAGATGACACCCCACCAGTAATGATAGAAGAAGTCAGAAAAGCGTTGGAGAGCATGCAAAGAGAGAAAGCTGCTGGTGAGGATCACGTAACATCAGATCTACTGAAAGATGGAGGACAGATTGTGTTAGAAAAACTAGCCACCCTGTTTACGAGGTGTCTCCTGACGGGAAGAGTACCAGAGCCTTAGAAGAACGCTAACATCATCTTAATACATAAGAAAGGAGATGACAAGGACTTGAAGAATTACAGGCCGATCAGCTTGCTCTCTGTAGTATACAAGCTATTTACATAGGTGATTGCTAACAGAGTAAAGAAAACATTAGAATTCAATCAACCAAAGGAACAAGCAGGATTTTGAACAGGCTACTGAACAATTGATCACATTCATACTATCAAACAGGTAATAGAGAAATGCTCAGAGTATAACAAACCACTATATATAGCCTTCATAGATTACGAGAAGGCGTTTAATTCAATAGAAATATCAGCCGTCATGCAGACACTGCGGAATCAAGGCGTAGATGAAGTATATATAAACATTCTGGAAGAAATCTACAGGGAATCAACTGCTACCATAGTGCTTCATAAAGAAAGCAACAGAATACCAATCAAGAAGGGTGTAAGGCAGGGGGACACAATCTCCCCAATGCTATTCACCGCGTGCTTACAGGAGGTTTTCAGAAGCCTAGAATAGGAACAGTTAGGGATAAGAGTTAATGGAGAATACCTTAGTAACTTGCGCTTCGCCGATGACATTGCATTGCTGAGTAACTCAGGGGACGAATTGCAACGCATGATTATGGAGTTAGACAAGGAGAGCAGAAAGGTGGGTCTTAAAATTAATCTGCAGAAAACGAAAGTAATGTACAACAACCTCAGAAAAAAGCAGCGCTTCGAGATAGGTAATAGTGCACTTGAAGTTGTAAAAGACTATGTCTACTTAGGGCAGGTAATAACCGCAGAGCCGAACCACGTGATTGAAGTAACTAGAAGAATGAGAATGGGGTGGAGCACATTCGGCAAGCACTCTCAAATTATGACAGGTAGATTGCCACTATCCCTCAAGAGGAAGGTATATAACAGCTGTATCTTGCCGGTACTTAGCTACGGAGCAGAAACCTGGAGACTTACAAAGAGGGTTCAGCTTAAATTGAGGACGACGCAGCGAGCAATGGGAAAAAATAGTAGGTGTAACCTTAAGAGACAAGAACAGAGCAGAGTGGATTAGGGGACAAATGAAAGTTAAGGATATCATAGTTGAAATAACGAAGAGGAAATGGACATGGGCCGGGCATGTAGCGCGTAGACAGGATAACCGCTGGTCATTAAGGGTAACTAACTGGATTCCCAGGGAAGGGAAGCGGGTTAGAGGGAGACAGAAGGTTAGGTGGGCAAATGAAATTAACAAGTTTGCGGGTATAAATTGGCAGCAGCAAGCACAGGACGGGGTTAACTGGCGGAACATGGGAGAGGCCTTTGTCCTGCAGTGGACGTAGTCAGGCTGATGATGATTATGATGATGATGGTGATGATGACAAGCTCGAACTAATCGTACATTAGCTTTCTTTGATCAGTAGTCAGCGACAAAGGCGTTCAATACACAACATCTGTGAAAAAAAAAGATACTTAATTTCAGTGAAGCCCGAGTCTTGTATATTGTCACCTGTTCATTCAGAGGCGATAAGTCATTCAATATACAATTTTTTGCCAATTCGTGATTGCCCGAGGTTCAGGTAACTACCTGTACATGGCATGGAAAATATCTACTGGTGTAAAAACAAAAACAAAAAAGCAGAGGCATGTACATTAGGGTAATCCCAAGGATAAAACCCGCAACAATGCGTCATAATTCAGGCTCCAGCGCGCTTTACTCTTTTAGGTACAGTGGTCAAGTGCCTGTGGTGCTCGACTGCTGAGCCGCAGGTCGCGACATCGAATACCAGCTGCGGCGGTTGCATCTTCGATGGAGTCGAAAATGTTTGAGGCCTGTGTACTTAGATTTAGGTGTATGTTAAGAACCTCAGGTAGTCGAAACTTCCGGGGCCTTCGACTACGGCGTCTCTCAGAATCCTATCGTGGTTTTGGGACGTTAAACCCTATATAATGTTATATTATTATTATTATTATTATTATTATTATTATTATTATTATTATTATTATTATTATTATTATTTAAATTTCCCCACTTTTTTCGCCTACTATTTGTGTAGCGACTTTTGTTTGCGTGCTGAACAAGATTGCGGGCCCTTGACCATGGGCGCGTCTCCTATTATCACTGTCTTTTATTTATTTATTTTTTTTTTCTTTTTTTATTTACCTCTCCTTCCCACCCCGTCACGGTGGTCTAGTGGTTAAGGTACTTGGCTGCTGACCCGCAAGTCACGGGTTCGAATCCCAGCTGCGGCGGCTGCATTTCCAATGGAGGCAGAAATGTTGTAGGCCCGTGTGCTCAGATTTGGGTGCACGTTAAAGAAACCCCACGTAGTCAAAATTTCCGGAGCCCTCCACTACGGCGTCTCTCATAATCATATGGTGGTTTTGTGATGTTAAACCCCACATATCAATCAATTATTTATCCTTCCCCAAACGTACTCTAAAAAAACAGCAGCTTCGTAGCTTATCTTACGTCGTTTTCTTCTATTTATTTTTTTTCAATATTCCTGCCTTTCTTGCGGACGTTGTTTCTATTTCATAAAATCAGTCAAACGGGCGTTCCTCAATTTCAAAAATACAGCCTCGCTGAAACACTCACTTCTTGAAGAATTGGATGACTATAACTGATATCACGAACAGCTGGAAGTCCGTCGACATGTACCAGAGGTGACCATACATCCCCTGTTGAGAGAATATAAATCAAAGTTACTTTCATGTACACACGGACAGGGTGGCTTCCATGATAGACTTTGAGAATGTTTCAGAGTGGTGGTGCAACCCCTTAAACCTGTTATATGAGAATTTTTTTCTTTAAAAACTAACGTTTAAATAACAGCAAATTTGAGAGTATAAGTAGAAGATATTTCGTTACCTCTGCCAAACACTCAAGAGGCAATGAGAGGGGTAAGGAATATGTAATCACTAAGAAAGAAACTTCGGGTTTTCTGTCTTGCACTAGATGAATAGAAAATCGAAAACAAAGGCAGGTGTAAAAAACAGTCGTCGTGCCGTAAGTCGACTAAGGTATTCTTGAACTTTTTTCACGTTGCAGTGGCCTTTCAGCAAGACCAAATTCAGCCGTTCGTCTCATCTAGACAAAATATAAACGTGTACGACAACATTCTTTGCAAACTGAAATAATGCAATTATTTGCATACAGCGTTTCATAGTGCAAAAGAATACCTTATATCTGATGGTCTCTCACCTACGTTCATCTCGACATACGTTTACTCTAGCATAGAAACACTACGCCCGGTGAATAAGTTTACTGATAGCTTCTGATCTTTCGAATTTCTCACATCAGGTATAAAAGCATTGAGGCATTGCATTAGCATGCCTGTCCCTGATTTCGTTTTTCGTGATTCCATGCGTGTCTGCATCTTCGTGCACCCAACTATCAGCGCTGCCACGGCTGCTATATATATATATATATATATATATATATATATATATATATATATATATATATATATATATATATATATATATAGTGGGAGTAATAATTCAATGGGCCAGTTAGTCTTCGTGAAGGTATGGGATATGGCACAACGGGAGCGTTTTCAACAAGGATAAATATATTTATTTCCCAACAGTTTCGGGAGGGGACCTCCCTTCATCAGGGGATGAGTTATACTGACATGAGCTTCCAAACTTCCTTGCTGCCGCGTCCCTCTCGCCTTGAATTCTCGCAAACGTCTTTCAAGGCGAGAGGGACGCGGCAGCAAGGAAGTCTGGAAGCTCATGTCAGTATAACTCATCCTCTGATGAAGGGAGGTCCCCTCCCGAAACTGTTGGGAAATAAATATATTTATCCTTGTTGACAACGCTCCCGTTGTGCCATATCCCATATATATATATATATATATATATATATATATATATATATATATATATATATATATATATATTTATATATATATATATATATATATATATATATATATATATATATATATATATATATATATATATATATATATATATATATATATATATGCGTGTGTGTGTGTGAGAAAGAGAGAGTGAGAGAGGGACGGCGAATGATGAAATAAGGGGATGCGCCACCCGTATTGTTGCAGTCATACGAAGAAGACAACCTTTTAAAGAAGCACACTGGCACACACACACACAGGAAGAAGAAACTTACGATGTGGAGATTTCCGGTGAAGTTTCTAATCTGAAGTAGCAGTGCCCAATATTGAGTGCGAATTTCGTTATAGAAATACTCGTACAATGTCGGTGTGGTGGGACCTTTGAAAACGAGTGGTGCAAGGAACGTGCACATAATACAAAATGCAATAGGTATGGTTCCCCTGAAATAAATGAAAAAATACGAACAATGTAAGAAAAAAAGAATGTTTTGTAACACAAAAATATAAAACGCCACTCTTGCGTGTCTGCATGCCTTGTGGAACTTTCACATTGTTTCATAATGGACCCGTATGAAAAATTTTCTACGAAGTTCTTTTTAAAGCGAAGCACACGGAATATGTTTTTGTGCACTTAAACGCAGCAGACAGTCGCGTTCGCGCTATAAGCAATATTGGTTTAATAGACGCTATATTACCACTGCAAACTATCCCTCCCCGAATAGAACAACTCGCCGATGGTTCGGCCAGGATGTGTTACTCAATGACAAACATGAGGGGGTTATCAGAAAGATTGCAACGTGAATAATCTGATCTTCAACGTGAAAACTAGTTCTTGAAGGTAAATGCAGACACATCGAGCTAGTAACTTAATTTTGGGGCGTGCATTTGCAACCAGGTGAAAGATGCGATACACATACCTGATGTATCTTCGAATAATCGCGATGATGGAACCGAACAGGGCGTGGGAACGTTCCCTCAGCAAGTTATATGTCAGCAGATAACCACTGTGTAGCATGGAAATAAAACAAGAAAAATCAGACAACAGAATGTAAAACACTTAAGTAAGTTTTCTCGTTTTATCTTAATCACTTTATAATAAACACAAAAGATTACCGGTAGAAACTCTAGTGTCATATACGTATAGCACACTCTTGTGACTTTCGTTTCTGACGTTCAGGTTTTTACTGGCAACCCAACAATGTAGAGAATTCGGTAAGGAAGCTCCCCTGTTCTTCATGGGCTTGAGAATAGCAACTTGAGTAGCATTTTTACTTTGCATGTCAATATACCAAGACGCTTGAGGGTCCTGCAGAATGCTCGGAGAAGTATAAAACAGGAAACAAAAAACGTGCGACAAAGTGCCGACAAAAAAGGAAGTCGCTTAGCTATTACTTGACATAAATTTTCGACATGCACACGCGAGAATAATATTAACTTCTTATGGCCTCCCTTTGCGTGGCTAATGTGAGGTTAATATTGGCATCCTATTTGAAACGATAGAGCGCTGGGATTATTGAACTAATCAAGTGTTGTTCACATGCACAGCAGTCCAGAAACTTTCATCAATCAGTTTGTCGTTTCGCTCTACATTATCACCTTAATTTCTACGATGTCCTGTTACTGACGACTGCAATGCCTCCGTTTCTATCGACCTCATATCTTATTTTTTTTTCAGATATCTACTGTAAACACGCCTCAGTGTGAGTGACATCTTACAATACGGCGTGATTAAACTACGAGGAAAACTAGGGGAAAGTTTGCGATAACTTAGTTAGAAAGAAACTGCCGAAAGTTGGTGGCATTATAGCAAGAAATGTTAAGAGTACGGACGCCTGTTTTATTTGTATGTTAAGTGGGGTCATATACTCACGCCAAGAACAAGAAGGTGTCCACGCTGAGGTAGCCGGCCATGATGAAACAGAACATGATGTTATCTCCATAATGAAGAGCGTTCACAAGGCGCGCTGCGTCAAAGAAGGCGTTATTGGGGCATTATTAGTACTTTAAGTGGCTTGTAATTAACATGCTTAAATATGCCGCAAGAAAGGTATTTTCTAATGAAAACAAATTTCTCGCCTCAAAAATAACCTACATAGAAATGCTCGATAGGCAACAGTTTTTTTTTTTTTGTCTATTGGTAACATATTGTTTCCACTAAACATAAATAATCGAGGCTGATCCAAAAAGCTCTATAGGAGGCTGTACGCGTCAACGCGCAAACATTATCTATAATGGCATAGTTGCAAATAGTACGTGTACAATAAAGTTTTGCCAATAAGGGCTACGCTGCTCAGTACTTTTATGCGATACTTTATGCGATATGCTGAAATCACACAGAACTGGAAATTCTTAGTACTGTTCAATGAATGGGCCACACATTCTGAACGACTTCAGACTTCGGAGGTTAAGCTACCTTAACCTCGACCTTATAGAAACAGCTACGTCAAGCACAAATCTTCATCTTTGGAAATCACTTCGGCGCTCTTCCAAAACAGCTGTATTGTGCGAGTGTCTTTGACGGCGTGTTGCAGTACGCGCATATTTGCTCTCTCTTTTCTATAGTCTCTTCCTCCAGCGTAAGGGTACCTAACTATGACGCTTTTCTCCTTATTATCACGGCCTTCTTGCTTCGTTTTCTCACTCGCTCTCATCAAAGTCCAAATAACTGTAAAATACCTTAGTTATTTGTTTTGTTTTGTTTTAATTTCTTTGAAGTTCTGGGAACAGCGGTATGTTCATCCGCTATAGCCAGAGAAAGGTGGTGCTCACCCATGTTGGTGAAATTGAATGTGCTGTATGAGTGGCCGAGTACTACCCAGCCTATGCTGAAAAAGCGCATTCCGTGCAGGAACCGCAGCTTGTACGCGTCCGACTGCTTGTCTTCGGTCACCTTCACCAGCATCTTCGAGTTGGCCACCACGGAGAAACTGGTAAGTGCAGTGAGCGCTGTTCCTGAAACAAACAGACAGCGAGGACTATGTCACGAGCCTGCGTATACTAAGCAAAATAGGCGAAATTCATAAAACTTTCAGTTCATAAATGATCATTGACCTTGGATAGCACGCTTCAGTAATCAGCATCAGGATAGGCCGAAACGTTTTTCGAATATAGGTATAATATTGCGAATCTACGTCATCTGTACTGACATTAATTACCTCCGTACCAGCATGTCACCGCATTTCTGGAACGATGTGCTCGAGTGAGGCAGGCCATCGGGACGTTTTAAGATAATATAAGAATTAAGACGTAAAGTTTTTCAACCTAGTGGCATTCGTCGTCTTGGTGCAACTTACAGTGCTATATTTCGTGGGGGTTAAAATTTTTAACGGTCGATATTGTTTCCTCGCTATTTCAGCCCCTTTTGTGGTTATGAAGCCATCAAGAGTTACAAGTCACAGTGTAGGTTATTGTCAAGACTATGTATATTTTCCGAAATGTGTGACTCATATGTTCGTTTATTTGAAACACGTCGCTTTCAAGTAATTGCAGATGGGAGGCAATTATCCAAGTTTCCACTGCAAGCAGTGGCGAAAAAAAATTTTTCGCAGCTTCGACCCTTACCTCGTGGTTCATCTCCCCGTGTGTTGTTCAGGTACATGTCGATGGCTGTGCTTACTGCCATGAAAAACAAAATCACTCCCAGCACGCCACTGTGGAGACCCGAATGAAGAGAAAGAAAATGCAAACAATAGTCAATAATACATTTTTCTCCAGTAAAAGCCCCAATATACTGATCAATTACTTGCACAAATGGAAAATCTTAGACATCACCTTCTGATTCGCATTCGAAAACGTTATGCTAAAACATTTTTTGCCCGCAACATAAATTTTAGTTAGCTGCTCATATGTCAGTTTTGTCGTGCAATGACTGAGGAAGATGTGAAGCTATAGTGAGAGAGACAGCTGCGTATCTCGTATCTGCTTGCAGTTGTTTCTTTAGTTAGCTCAATCCACGTTAGCTCAGACACGCTAAGAGATATATAGCATACACAGGCTTCACCAATTCAGGTAACTGAGGAGGTATGTCACTGATTTACTAATGGTAACCTTCATTCATTGTTCATTGCTTGAGTAAAACATACATCAAAATGAGGTTGTAAATTTCAACCACCCTGCAGCAAACATCCAAACTAAATACAATCAAGATGGTTATATCTGCTACCAAAACGTTGTCCAGTCATAAAATAAGGGCAGCAAGCCTAAATATCTACTGCCATGGACAATAGCTGCTGTGTGTTTGACACAAAGTTTCTAATACGGGGCATAAACCACCTTGGTTGTGTGAATGTGCATGCTTGCTGCGATTCTCTGAGTTCGTCAAAGCGAGATATATTCATTTGTTATTGCAGTAATTGTTCCTTATACTTTAGTGTTTCACTTTTACATTTCCTTTGTTTCTGGAGAGGAACAAAACAAAACGATCTTGATTAAAAATACATATTCATAGAGCAGCCCACCCTGCCACTGAACTTAATATGATTACATTCCTTCTCCTCTCAATTTACTTCAATGTCCTGCTGTCGTCACAGTCATTTTAAATGCGCAAGGATGTATTCATATTTCAGTGCCAAACCGTTCAAGGCAACCTTTCTGTCAGCCGTAGTGTTGTGAGCTCGACCATTTGCGCTTATGCAATATATCCATTATAAATGCAGAAAGACGGTGATGTGATAATATAGTGTAGCAAAACTATCTTATATGCAGCATCACTTTCGCTTTCAACCTATACCTATCGCAGAGCTTGTTTACGCATGTCCCGGTCATGGCTATTTCTCGACCCTGGCACGTGCAGAAATCGAAAAGCGACAACCGCATGCTGTATACAGCAACGAGCTGGGTTTCTATTTCTATGTTCACGAGAAAAGGTTGATTAACGGAAATCACGTGTCCTTCAATCTTTCGTAGCTCTTAATCTGATCCCTCTTTAGACGCTTACCTTGACTCTCATCTCGAAATGCCATGGCGGTTTGTTTAACACGCTAACGTGATGGCGCCTTTTTAATCGGTCGGATCTATCTGATTAACCCAATACGGCACCGTGTATGCCGCAGTGACTGACTGCTTGCACGGAATTTTTGATCGATAACTGATAAGAGTATTAACGTTTTTTTAGAAAAATATATGTAAAAGCTGGAGCTTACGTAATTGCAGAAAACAAGTAAAGAAACGTGCGAACAACACAATTTTTCTTGGTGTAATGATATATTGTTCGCTCATGTTCAGATATATCAAGTCACGCAGTACGCAAAACATAGACTTAAACCATAGGTGCCCTTTGATCGCAGACTAGCCCAAGCAAATAATTAGACAAATGGCAAACGGCGTATGTACGTAGCCTTATCCTCATAAGCATCGAAGGACAATGAGCCGAATACAGTGACGAGTTATCACTACAATTGGCATATATATTATAGAGCGAGACAAGAGCTCGTTAAGAAGACGCTGGTGAAAGAGTCGTGAATGGCGAGGACTTCCAGTAATGTTTCATAGTCAAAAAGTATTTCTATAATACTGAACATTTTGTTTTATGCAATTTTAGTTCAATAGGAAACATAGCTTTGAAGAACACAAAACAGAAGCATTATCTGTTCACATGATAAAACATTATACGCATTATGCACTTTTAGTTCAATATGAAACATAGCTTTGAGGAACACAAAACAGAAGCATTATCTGTTTACACGATAAAAACATTATACGCAAAAGATACCCTATACGTTGTAATTCACGGTAAGTGTGCCCTCAGACGTATAAATAGCAGTCATGGCTTTTTATTTTTTAATCCTCGGGTGAGCAGCTAGCGTAGCGTCTGCATGTACGCAAACGCGAAAACTTAAAGCGTGATCCGCCTAGCCGGATGCGAGAGAACGTTCCCTCTCGGTGGTAAACTGACGGCAAACATGCGTGCTCGTGCCCTTGCCGAAGAGCGACCGCATAATCAGAGGTAACACACAGTGCGAAAAAAGGAAGACAGAAATCGCCTTGCCAAAAACACACACGCACGACTCATTGTGCGTTTTCTCGTGTCTGGACGGCATTGATCTTTCTCACAAAAGCGCTTCTCTATGACGTTCTTCTTTATTCTTTCAGCGCCTTTATGTTCGCATGAATTACACCTGGCGTGAGAATCGGTCCCGTTGCCAAATTCTCAATGCAAGCGCCGACTGTGACGGGGCAGTGGCGGTGGCAACACTCGACCGCGCAATCTGAATAGGGAGCCCGGGGCCATTCCCAGCGGTGCCTGTTGTCGGAAGCGGGCTTCCCTCCTTTTTCTCACGTAACGAGACTCCGCCCGCGGCAGCACGATGCGGCCGCCACCATTGTTACCACTCGCGCACGCTGACGTCACACTCTGGCTGGACGCCCAGAGCGAAAGCAGCTGACGTCATCACTACCCGAATTAAGTTCTTGAGATATTATCACTGCCGCACCCGGCGGGCCAGTTCTGGGAACAAATTACATGCGCCCAGCTTTCGCCATGTGCGGTCAGGTATACAGCTCGAAAATAACAACATATCTGAAAACAGCTCGAAGTGGCATCATGGCTCCGAAACAGTTCTTCGCATGCCACGTTGCTATTTTTATCTATTCGCTCAGGGCACAATCAATTACCTAGTGAGCATGGACGGTGACAGTCATGCAGTAAAATGCACTGTAATCACTTAGGGTAGAAATTATGGGCCATCAGCCCGAAGGTAACCCTTATGGAATGCGAAGCAGCAGCGGTGCGCAGGGCGTTGACCCGGTTGAAACAGGCGTCGACGCGGGTGCTGGAAGAATGGTTTGCAGCAAAACTCGGTGTTGCAAAGACACGGGAGGCGAGTTGGGTTTCCTGGAAGTTTTTTCGGAGAAAAACTATTCACTCGATGTGCGCTCGAACGTTGCCAGTGGTGGAGAGGGTGAAGCGAGCGAGATGACACGTGGTGAGCGCCGACAGGTTATGGAGAAAGTGACGTCAACGTACGCGCACTGCTAGAAAAGGCGTGGCCTACTTGGCACGCCCCAACACCTGTGGCCAGGAAAGCACGGTGCGGACGGAGGGGCAGCGTTACGCAGGCTAGTCAAAAAGCTCCTTCGCATCTATAATAAAAAGACATAGCTCGGGGCAGTTTGCTAAAACTGCTGCGCTGTGCTTTAGCCAGGCCCCGGAAACTCAGCGCAAGTTTGGGTTTCAAAGAACATGCACGCTTGTAGCGGTTTCTGGGCATCCTAGGATCCGGTTAAGTGGAGGGAGGTTCATGTAAATGTTCGCATTTATTAGCTTTCACGAGTTTTTACAAATATAAAAGAGATACTTCTGTAAAGAACTTCTTTTTTGTTTATATTTATTCTCTTATTGCTTATTTCGCAAATTTTAAGTCAGGCGAAGTGCGGGATGTGATTGGCTTGTGTTCGTAGCACTTGCTTTCGCTCCTTCTCGCCCCTCGCTCAGCAATGTTATAAGTTGGATCACGCTCAGTTATCTTGCTCGGTTGGCATGTCAGCTACGGTGGAGATAAAGACAGCAAGTTGTGGCGGTCCGAGAAAGGAAGACGCAGTGAGTTACGCCGGACAAGTCAACCATGCATTCGTCAAAGATGGCTTAATTGGGCAACACATAATTTCCCCGTCTCTGCGGCGTGTTAACCTGAGCATTCCTAGTTCTGCGAAGGTTTTGAGCATTTTCTAAAGGCAATGGGTGAGCACAAGATTTTGGACCCATTATTTGAGCAGGAATTGTTTTTGCATGAGTACATATGAGCAAACCCAGTTCCCGGCCAACCTGACTGGACTGACAGAAGTGCAATGTCGCTCGATTATTTGGTGAAAACGGCAGCCAAGCACCGTCGGGTAAATGCGTTTATTGAAAGACTTGAAATCCAGTTGGCTCGGCTACATAGTTTTAGTTTCTTTTACTTTTGGCGTGTAGTTCAAATTATCTCAAGTAATCATAGGCTACTTCCTACTCATAAAATTTCTGTAGCCACGGTTTCAAAATTTGTGAGTCTTTACTTCTAATAGTGTCACTCAAATACATGTGGTGGACTAAATGCTTCTAAAAATTATTACAGAGAATGTTGATGGAGCCAAAGTTTTCACCAGTGAACTTTTCTTTGCAACACTGTTCTCCTGGCGAAGACAAGTCAACTCGCCGAAACACTGTTTCTCGCCACTTTCTTCCTCGAAAACTTTTTGATCGCTTCAAGCCTCTTCGTACCTCTGAACTTCAGTCTCGTTTGGTACTGAAGTTCTGTAGAACACTATGCGCGCAGTCATAACAAACGTGATTGAGTCAAATACGACGTGTCCTACTCGCGATTGCTGATACTTTTCACATTAGTTCAAATATTCTGGATTCAACGTTTGCTCATTATATACATATATCAGTTGTAAATTAAATGCATGCATTTAGAGATTGACACTTTCACACTGCGTGTGTGTATCTATTTTTTGTTGAAAACATGCAATAAAAACTGCATTTTATTTGTGTCGATCGACTTTCATCTCACTGAGAAATCAGTAAGCATAACTTTCGCCTCTTCAGAAAATACGAACAAAATTTTAAAAAAAACTGAACAAAATTGTATGACCACACTGCCCAAGCGGCTAGCGGACCTGAAAGAAGGCACGAGCGCATTCCGCTTGCAATGGAAGTAGAAAAGGAGGGCTTCCGTGGCAACACTCCTCCTCTCAATTTTTTGTCCTTTCCTTCTACTTAGGGACCTCGCCAGTGACCTCATGAAAGAAACTTTACGTTTGTGATGTATTGTTATTATGAGGCCCGGCAACCATCAGTGGTAAAAGTGGTGCTCCCGCGGCCGAGAAGGAATACACGGGAGGTATAGGGAGTTTCCGCCCACAGCTTTAGCCTACAGTATCCTGTTTTTTTTTCTCGAACTTAATCTTATGCAAGTGAATACAGACTTGTGAAACGACGCGAACAGCTCCGAACAGGTTCTTGTTTATTCTGCTAGGCGTCTGACAGTAACGGCGACCTTTTGGCATCGGCGAAGGGCGTCACTGGAGTCCAACCACGTGCTCATTCACGAGTCAAGGTGAGAATTGGTGATCTTTACCCCAGAATAAGCCATGCCTGTCGAAGCCACGCCTCCGCCTTTTCTATTTGAGGTATGTCATCCCACCTTGCCCAACCGGCTAGTACCCGTAAAGGACAAACGACAGACAAGCGGCGGAGAGCGCGTACCAGGCAAAAAAGTGCCCGCACGAAGCGCCAGCGCGTATGAAAGGCGTGCGTATCGTGTCAGCCGGTCAAGGGCACGATGCTCAAAAATCAACAACAACGTCGTGTTACGTCAAAGTATCTGCCACTCGGACAGCAGGTAGCCCGATCAGAAAGCCCAAGAATGACACCGTCAAAACGTCCGGCACATGTTGTTGTCTACTATAGGCCTTCCCGGTTTACGCCTGGGTGTGTCTTTCACAGGCTCATGTACTATATATAGCTAGGGTTGCCTGAGGTGTACGATTACTGGTGGGCTATTTTTCCTTTTGTTTTTTGTGCGACACTTTTTCAATGTCGCGCTGCAGTGTAGTGGAAGCATAAAGACTGAATTGCGATTAAATATAGGTAGGTGTGGCCGAACGCTTTTTTTTTTTTACCTGAAACGCCTGGCAGGCTATTCGCCTGACACCACAGCTTTGTTACCTCTAGCCCGCATGTGAAGTCTCCCCAAGTAATTTCACCGGGAATGTTCGCGGCCTTCTCCTCCATTGTGGGGTGGCGGGAATGAGGTACATTGGAGTGTGCCAGGTGTTAATTCATGAAATGAATGTTTTCAGGCCATCGTCTTTAGGTATAAATAATGCCCCTCAACTGGGGAACTTACGACAATACTTAAATATATGTTAAAGGCAAATCCTTAATTGTACTGCGGTTAGTGTGTGGACACAGATATAGACAATTCTCTACGTGCGCGTCAACCTGCGTTTTACTGCAGACATTGTAATGCAAAAACAAAAAAAAACTGCAACAGTGGAAAGGACAGGTTACCACGGGTGCTTGGGTCAACAAATTTGACAGGAATTGGCGAAACACTTCGAAGAATTTCTAACACTGTTAGCCTTTCGAACTATGTGACGAGAAAGCAAAGATCCCCATATGTATAGGATGGTAGAAGTTCCCGTGCACTTATGCTGGAGAGAGTGCATTGCAGATAAATAGCTGGGATCAAATTTACAAAACTGCAATTTCATAAGTGCGTTTGCCCATTGGTCAGCCGGCTTCGTGAAGGATATGCGCCAATTCGGATTTGCTGAAATGTGACCTTGCAAAAATTTTTATCGTAAGACAGTGTTCTGAATATGGGCATATGGGCCCTGTACACGAAGAGAATAGGTAGACACTTGCATTGTGCTCTTTTGCCACCATTAGAGACAAGAAAAAAAGAACAGGGAGGGGGGGCGTGCGAGGATGCATCGCGAAGGTTCGAATTTCCCCATTTTTGTGATGCAATGAGCATCCGGTTTTGTGAGTAATTTTTCTACGTTACAAGGAACACCTAACTTGATCTTCATTGCTTGTTACCCGTGGCTAGTTCACACGACCCCTTCGATGGAGCACACGTAAAAAGAGTTCTGGGTTTTTCCAAGTCATACCGGAAAGTCCGCACGTGTGGGCGTTAATCCTTGTGAGACCTGGCCAGACTTACATGATAGCCGCTTGCGTGGTGTCGATTTCGGTTGGTTCGTTCGTGACACAGTCCGTCACCGTGACCTTGGTGTCTCCTGTGATCACTGGAAAAGACCAATTTCACACTATGAAGTGAAGCAATCTTTGTCCAACTATAGTTGGCATCAATGTGTCCCTCATTCAGGACGAAGTTTACGGCGTGTGAAAAGACAGTATTGCCAGCTACGTAATAAATACCGCAACACTCGAACTGCAGTGTTTGACTTATTACTCGTATAGTTACGAAGGCAGCATGGATTGAGATTTCATCGAGAGGTATCGAAAGGTCTCACCATACTCCTCAAGCATGACTTAAAACTGACATCACAATACTGCTGTAGCGCAACAAAAAGCTGCTTACAGACACCAGCAATGGCCTCGATGTCCTTTGGCTTGCATTCGTGGACAATACAGAGCCCGATTTTCACGCCATGTACAATATCCTCGTTCTGGTACCTAGAAAACGTTGGTGTCTGGAATAAAAAGAGAGCGACAGAAACAAATTGTGGGATAAGCTATCGCTTTTCTTTCGTATGTGTTTCATGTAAAAAAAAGTAATGAAAGAAAGGCTGACAAATGTACGATCTGTGAGTTCGTTTATTCACGTTTGAACAAATGAAAAGTTGTTGAGCGCAGTGTGTTTCTCAGGCCAGGTACACAAGGGCACTTATGTGTTTCAACCTTCATCGTTGCCTGAGCGTCTGCCTTGCTTTAGTTAACAGTCGAGGTAGTCTGCATAATGATCACTTTTTCTTCTGTAAACTTTTTTGAAAAGGCGTCTTCATAATTCCCAGAATACGTGCCATTACAACGTTTTTTTTACGCCAGACGCGTGTAAGACAGCAATCAATTATATGATGAGAAATTAATATATCTCCCCAAATATACGCATATCTTCATCCCAACAGCTATATACTTTCGGCCCTCGTCACCGTCGCAGTTTTAGCATTGACCATAAAGGATCCCATGGCGTCCTTTAATCGGATTAGATAGGCCTGATTGAGTGCGGCGCCTGATATAGAATAGGTTAAGCTGGTGTACCTTCGCTGTCAACATTGCTTGAAGCATTCGACACTTGTATTATCTTCAAGTATATAGAAGAATGTCAGTAAACAACACACTAGCCCGCAATTAACATGAAAAAAAAAATCAACGACCAGGTTTCTGCGCCACTTGCATTTTGTACAATTCGCATGCGCGGTGCTGTAAAGTTGCAGCAACGTGAGAACATTACGCACTTGTTTGTCTGGTGGTTGCACGCACTTTGGAAAATCACTCCGGATGTTGCTACAACTATTAGAGACCCGCCTATTTACATCATCCGGCGGCGCAAGGTCTCGTCGAAAAGGCGTCAAAGAATCGATCGTATAGTCCGCCTCCGTATCGGCGCGATGTGCCCGTGAACAAATGCGGCACAATAAGCGCGTTTACACTCGACGCGTTCGTTTCTGGCTTCATCGTAAATTCTTGAACACAGCTCTGAATAAGCGCACGACTACCGAGAAACGCCGCCGCCACGTGTCGCCTGGCACATCCAGGGTAACACGCTAGTCGAATCTACATTTTACGGGACATTTCTCTCCGTTACTTCAAGTGGTGTCCCCCTTTTTTTTTCTTCTCTTCTTTTCTTTTTTGATATGGTGCCAAGGTTACAAACCGATACCGGTGTCCTCAGCCGAGCAGAGGAACTCGTCCGCGTCAGCCACGGAGGTCGGTTGGTTGCGGCCCGCTACAGACAGTTTGTTTCCAAAAAACGAGAGCGGGATAAATAGAAGAAAAAGGGGGGGGGAGGTGGTAAATAGCGCGGAACGCCGCGCAGCTTTTGAAGTGTATGCGGTAGGAAGGACAGTAATGCATTTTCGTTTGAGCTCAGATAAAGTACGTAGGGAGAAGGTGATGAGCGCTTTTAACGTGGATGGAAGCTCGGTGCAGTTTTGTCACGACTGGGCTCACAGTCATGGCATCGGTGGCGCCCGTGGACTGCTTTGTAGTGAGTGTCATGACAAGCTGATTAAATTTGACCCTGTAAACTGCTCGCAAGTAGAGCCTGTGTGAGCAGTATCACAATGTTCAAAGTTGAACTGTTATTTCTGTTAAATAATACAATCCGCCATCTCGCGTCCTTCTTACATTGCAAGCATGTGTACCAGAGCACAAGTTCAGCCAAACCTTCTTTGGCACTCGAGGCTGAATAGAAATGTTACGGCTATGGCATCAAAGTATTACTTATAGATGAACACTCTGAAACCGCAGTGGTACTGCTATTTGAGAAAACTGCATTAACAGACCATTTACACTCCCACAAGAATGTGACTTTTTTTCTTTTTATTCTTAAAGTTAATGCTAAGTTTTAGATGCGTTAGTGACGGAGAAAACCCTTCCTTGGATAGAAACATACTGCAGGTCTTGAATGAAGGCACTTGAAGTTTAGTAATATGCATATTGTTAGAATGAGTAAATTGTGACCATGAATTCAGAATGATGTGTTCAAAATATACTTTGAAAGTAAAGACAAATGCTGTCTTTAGAGAGAAAAGATGGAATCCAGGACAACGTTACGACCAAGCTCCTTCTCCCTTGGCCAAAAAAAAAAGAAAAGCTACATCCCTGATAAGCGCTATGCCTCCATATCAATGCCGTGCGTGAGAGCACGCATTCTTGGCTTCAGATGGCTAATCAGTTGAATAAAAGCCTGCAATATGTGGTAGCGAGAGAATGGCTGCAACTAGTTTTAGCGAATGCGCTCAAACTACTACAGAGAATACGGTACATGATAAGAGAGTGGGAAACAGTCATTCAGTATGTGTTCGTCTTCAGGTAGAGACATTTTACAGATTTCGGCAAGGAGGATCGGTGTGTGTGAGTTTAAAAGCTACCACCCCTTTCCGCTCTGCTTATATTTTAGGGGGTGTCGTCTAAAGCCCACACAGCGTATCGGCCTGCTTTTTCTACGTGGGGCATTCCGTATTTTATGAACTCGCACCCCAGAACAGCACATGGGCTACGAAATTTGTCTTAGTAGGTACACTGAGTTTTATCACGACCAATCCAGCTCCTCTGACGTGCGAATATGTATGTGCTACTATGTAAACGTATTTACATTCTACGAATGTTCTAGAGTATTGCGAGTGTATACAGCTTGATGCAAGTAAATGGAAGTATGCCAACATTTCGGCACATTCTCGCCACAGCCAGGAAACAAATTCACAACATCGCGTGAAACAATGGAACTACGTGCTTCGACAGCTAACATGGCAACGTATGCCTTGCGTATAAATATATGGTATTCATACATTTAAGAAATCAAAATGATGCTGAATTTATTATCGCTTTTGCGAAGGCTTTTGCTCTGCGGTAGCATAAGAGATGGCGTTTTTCTGTTGACCAGAAGGTCAGAGGTTCGACACCTATTCCTGACGCATGTGTTTCAATAAAAGCTGGAGCTTTTACGCCCTGATGAAAAAAAAACACTCTTTACGATGCAGCCACGATGTTAATTCTAACACCGTGTATACGGCCCTCCGCAACAAAGCCTGCCGGGAAGATCCTGGACGATCAACCATCGAATTTACTTCTAGACACTCCTAACATAACATCAAGGAAGCCTTCCATTCTTATTGCTCCCCATAAAGCAGCCACTTGTTTCCGTATTTCAGTTACAGGACGATACCTTTTATTAGTATAGCCATTTATTCCTGTTAAGCGGTTGTGCGAACCGTCATGCCAATACCGTGTTTCAAGTAAGTGAGCATCTTTTTCGACACAAGTATAATTATCTGTGTAGTCACTAGGTCTCATTCCTTATGTTTTGTTGTTTCGTCGAGTGTCGTGGGGCAGATACGACGCTAACACTGCTTTGTCGTTGTCGTTGTTGTTGTCGTTGTTGTTGTTGTTGTTGTTGTTGTTGTTGTTGTTGTTGTTGTTGTTGTTGTTGTTGTTGTTGTTGTTGTTGTTGTTGTTGTTGTTGTTGTTGTTGTTGTTGTTGTTGTTGTTGTTGTTGTTGTTGTTTTAGTCAAAGCGCCCTAAATATTTGAAAACGTATAGCAGCCCCCACCGCGATGCCGTATGCGCTCTTCTAGCTACATAGACGTGCACTATATTTGCCTAAATAGCAAAGCTGCTTTTCCCATTCGCGGGGTCTCATGACATCTATAAGTGAGCGTTGCGCTGTGTCATCACTTTTTCGCCACAGGGATGATGTGACCTAAAGAACAGCCCGTTCGTGCCGGAGTAGGAAGAGGCCAGCGTTCCTTTCCAAGCCAGGCTGACTGTTCTGTGTGTTCTGCGAATCGGGTCTCGTGCTCGGCACAACATCCTAGCGCGTCAGAATCAGTTTTTTTTTAAATTGCATGAGGAACAGCGGACGACGTGCTTTTTTGTGTGATCCACCGCGTAGGATTTTAGAAGAGTGCATCTTAAACCATCCCAATAACCTGCTGTTTTTTTTTTTCTGCATGAAAAGTTTTTGCGAAAAGACAAGGGAACGTACTATCTTTGCCTGTGATATGTTTATGTTCCTTTTTAGCGTACGGACGCAGCCTTATCATCATCCTGTCCCCAATTTCAACGTAAAGTGGAAGAGAAATCAACCAGTAAATGTAACTGTAATGAAACCGCTTGAACACTGTGCCATTGTGGAATTGCAATCAAAGTGCTTGCGTCATTACATGGGAAAGCAGTGGAAAAAATTAAGTAACGACACAACGCATTCGCTTTTTTTTTTTGCAAATGTCATTGTTTTTTTACGTGCAATGCTTAGCAATTATCTAATTACCACGCAATTATCTGCCAACAACCTCCATCTTTCGGTAAAGCACATGACTGGTGCCCTTTCTTTGTGTTCTGAAGCCGTTGTATGTGAAGTGGCCCACTCAACTTAACAAGCTCTTTCTCTTTCCCCCTGAATTACCTCCAATGAACTACACCACTTATGTGACTCGTGTCGACACTATGTTTGCCACTGTTTGCGAGATGTACTCGGTATACGTGAATAGCGTCAACGACCTGCCTGATACTTCGTCTCTCTCGCATAATAGTGCAGACAACCTTCCTTTTATCACACTTTCGTTATAACTGAGGAGTCAACAAAGACGGGGCTATATGGTGCACAAGAAAGCAGCTGTTCAAGTCTCCACCACATCTAATTAAAAAAGAAAACATCCGGCACCGGTACATGCGCTAGAAGCAAGGCACGTACCCTCCTGTGCGAGAGGCGTAGGGCATCGTCCAAGTGATCCAGGAAGGACGTGTCCTTTCCTAGTTTAATGTATACGCTGCAGTACTGGGCGCGCACCTTCTCTCCGCCGTATTCGTCATGGATTACCGTCTCGATGCACTGGTCATACGCGCCCAGATCGGACAGCGATCCCTGGAAGAGGCCGGTTGGATACTTGCCCGAGGCATCGATCACTGCGAGAGAACAGGAGTTATGGGTTAGGATGGTTACTTACTGACCCGTCAACACAATCTCTAGGTGAAATAGACCGAATACATATGCACGAGCGTCGCGAGACTGCCTTTGCATTGGTATACATAGAGTTCGACGAGCCAGTGGCGTTTACTTTTGGGGCTTTCGCAACGCGCATGCTATCACATTCGCACCAGTGGAATCAAATGATGCCGAAACAATTTGTAGCAAAGTTTCATTCGGATAAATGTCCCAGAAGCGAGCCATCTCCAGCCAGAATGACTTCATAGCAACAGAAATAGGGAACAGGCACTGTGCCCCTCCAGGTGGCAGTTGCCAGCTTGCTCTCTCCCTCTTTCCTTTGTGTCCCTGTGTATCCGCGTGTGCAAATCATATAAGTAAATAAATATATGAAGAAAAACAGAAGATTTCACTGCTCAGTACTGGCATCACAGATTTGCACAAACATCTCAAAAGCAAACACTACATTAGACATGTTTGCGGCTATAGTTATGTTGTCTTCACTACAAAGAAGTTACGTTTTTGTTTGTTTGTTTTTTTTGTGTGCGAAAATGCAAGGAAGGAGCTATTTGATTAAAAGTGAGCTAAACAGAGAAACGGATCATTTTGCTTCATTAGTATGATATGCTGTAGTATATCGAAGAAAATGCGACAGGGTCAAGCAACTCTTATATTAGCTCTGACACACTGGCACCCATACTGGCGGGTGCCGGCGTATGAGGCAGCGTAAATGAAAGAAGGAGGGAAGTCATCGCTCATGGCAACGATATAAATGAAGAAAGCGTATACAGTGAGCTGCCAGAATAATGAAAGACCTTCTTCTGCAAAGGAGAAGGTCTTTCGTTATCGCATTTTTTTTTTGCGCCTGCACAGTCAATCATCGCTACACCATGTCCACCACTGTGAAAAAACTGATAGAAGCTACATTGATTTGAAGAAACGGGCACACCAGTAGATTTGTGTAATGCATGCGATGGACCAATATTCAATGAGAAAAGTTTTTGATATAGAATCAGTCTACCATCCTCATTTTCACATGTAGTTGGAAACTAGCATTCCCTCCCATTCAGTATTTATTTTTAGATCAGTAAACAGTGATATATAATTATCTGCTGTCCTTGCCTGTTCACCCTGTGATTATATATTCCGGAAGTATGTTTCTCGTGAAAGGAGCTATGCTAAATCAGACTTGAAATTTTTTGTACTTGCAGAAACACACAAAAAACTGCATATTCATTTTGAACAGTATACCAAGAGGTTATTTTATTCTATTCATATAAGTACAAGTCTCCAAGGCCTTCAGAGCGCTTGTTTATTGTCCAGGTGCTCCTGACACTACGTCCAAGTGTATGCGCCTTTTCAGCCATTTTGCTTATTTATTTCAATGCAATCCTCTAATTTCTCCACGCATTGTATCGGCTGACAAAAGCGAAAACATTTTATCCTAGAATGTGGTCTGTTGGCAACTCTGTTAATTCGACCGGCAGCTCATGAACTGGTTCCGCCAAACCTTGCCAAACAAGGTCGGCAATATCGAGCACTCTGCACGGGAGGGGAAACGCATATCTATCTTTGTTGGTTTCTTTGTTTGTTTGTTTCTCTTTATTTTGCCTTGGAACGGTCATTCGTTTGTGCAGGTGTGCCCGAACTGCTTTTCTTTATTGCTTTCCCTTTTGGTTTCGTATCTCTGCTTAGCTTCCCGTCCAGGTTTGCGACAGGGTGGTGCATTCTTTGTGACGCGACCAACTGAACCACATGGTTATCGGAAGTTTAGCAGACGAGGGTAGGTCGTTTGTATCGCGTTTATTACGTTGAAGCAGCCGGTTTCCTTGAGAGGTAGTGAAACGTCAGATCTTCCGGTGGTTTTCAGAAAAGAGAAAGTGGCTATATATAGACAACTGCGTTCTTTTAGTTGACTTCAGCGCGTCCTTTTGGATACTGCGATTCAAGGATCTAGTTTCACTTGACTGCATGACGTACATTCAGCCGCAGTTATGGCGCTTGTGAATTTGTAACGCTTATAAGCCTATAGCTTAGGGAAACGCTTTGGTATTTGCGGTCACGTAAACGCTACCATGCAAGTTGGCTGGTAATTCATGCGGCGTGTGTACCCATTTCGTGCCTTGCCTCTTGAGTGTAACATAACGCAAATTGTAGTCACTCTTGTCTCACTCGTAACCAACGAGAGAACGTGCGGACAGGTAACAAAGCTATTTTCTCTGCGATCAAAACTTTATGAGCAGCGTTATAGTAACCCGTCACACGTGCGTAAATAGCAAGACATCTGTCTAGACCTCACTACAGCGGAATGCGGTCGCACTCGAGGTCGTGCGAGGACCGTTAGCAATACGTTTCTTCGATACGTGGTGCATAAGACCTTCAGATTTGTTTGCATGATAAGCAGCTCTGCTGGATTCTTTGCAAATGCGAAGGTAACAAGGCGAGGCAAAAGGAGAAAGCAGTGGAAGTAGCATTCTGCGCTGCTGTATCTCCGACGTGGGGCGCAATGACATCGCAGCTAGTTCTGAACAATAACATCTTTGTAGTTAGCAGGTACGTCTGCGCAGGTGCCGTCATCAAGCTTGTTTTTTGTTCGATGCTTTCCCCATCTATCTCTGTGACGCAACATGATAAAAAAAAACGATGCCGTAAGACCTCTTGTGATTGCCATATCTTTTTGTTCCTCATTTTGTTACTCCATGTACAGCTCTATTTCTTGCTGTCTCGCACGAAAACTTATCGACACAAGTGCTCAGAAGGATAGGACAATGGCACAACGCGTCTCGCTCAGATTTCGAAACCACCGTCGCTGCAGCTACTCCTTTAGTCTTCTTTTTTCATTACATAAGGCAGCTGTTTTTGTTCGCGCTGATTGGTGCTCATCGTGGCAGCGTCGTCTGTCACTGCGTCTCAAAGGTTGTCGGCCAATATAGTTAGCTTTTCAGGGTGAGAAATGGCAAAACAAGCGCAAAAAAAAGCGACGTTGCTGTTTGGCGTTCTCTTCGAACGAGAGTGAGGAGTGAATATTGCGCAAAGCTTTGTTTTGCTCATCGCATCGGTGAGACCAGCTCGAGGGCTCCTCTGTTCGTAAGTATTTCGCGGAAAGGCAAGTTTATTGAACGGCGCCGCTCATTGTTCTGAGGTAACAAAGGACCCATAAATAATTCATTCTGCGCGCCCCTCGTCAAATGTTTTTCTTCAAGAGTATCTTTTCGAGTTTACCTTGTTACCAATAAGGGAGTAGTACTACAACAAACTTGCGGTAAACACATTTCGGTCAATACTGAGAACGTCTACGAGGACCACAAGCAGTCGGATGCAATTGGGGCTAAAGCAATGTAACTGACGTGCTATACATAAAAGCTCACGTAACTGACGTGCTATATACGCCGTAAACGAGAGATAGCGAGAGATAATATTTTAATTAGGCAATCTGTGAAAGTGTTTAGAAAAAAATATGCCTTTTGCGGCCGCCTTTTATCTAAGAAGTTCATTTTGGCACCTGATGTGTGAACCGAAAGAGCAATGAACTTTATTTTGTATTATAAGTATACAAAGCATACGGGTAGCGAGGTCCCCTTGTTTCAGGTAATTTGACGTGGACATTTATAAAAAATGATTGCAATACCTACAGATCTATACCATACGCACTCGATGGTATTTAGTGAAGTAAATTAGTGAAGTGATGTCGATGGTATTTAGAGAAGTTCCAACACGCAGAATCAACCCGTGTCGACAGCACCTGCAATTTACTTTCCCTTCTCTTCTAAATTCATATCTACAAAGTGGTTTGAATCTCTTCAGTTAGTCAAAAAGTGCTTTGCGTGCTATCTATTTTAACATGTATATTTAGTCCCTCTAAATTTTTTTGCTCTTTTATTCTTTTTAACCATCTCTGTGTGTCATTAATAAAAATATTATTTACATTGTAATTTACAACCACCTCTAGTTTTCTCTTTTGTATTTGTTTATTATTGTTTGTAACACTATGTTATACTGTTGTTTGATGAACCTTGCTGTAAGCTGCTGCTGATGAAAAGCGTGTCGCGGCTTCACCAAGCTGTCTCTGACAGCTTTTTCTGCGCCCCCACTGTCTGTACGCTTACAAGGCAGAGATAACAATTTGAACTTGTAAAAGAAACAGAGCAAAGTTAAGTGACAGACTGAAATACAATGTTTTGTTCTTTGTTTTTTTCTTGAGCTTTTATCGCATGAGTGGGCAAGAACTGTTCATAGACATCTCTTCTATTTTTACCGCGTTTGCCACTTCATTAAAAACTAGATTTTGAGAAGGTAGAGAGAGTTGCGTGCCAAATCAACGATAATATTTACTAGCCTCAAAAATTAGGCGTGTTGGCATCATACGATTGGGTTCCAGATTGTGCACAACAGGCTGATCTCTGTAGGAGTGTTTTTGTCTCGGGTCTCGCCTGTGTTACTCGATCGAATATCCAGTCACGATATTATTATTACTTCTTTGGTAATGAGAAACCGCTGCTTATTTTCAACTGCACACACATACTCACCCTTGTGCGCAAAGCGCGTCGTGGTGTTTACCGGAAACGTCAGCACTATTTTCACCGTTTACGGTGTCCAGGCTCGTGCAGCGCCAGAAGGGCGTTTCGCGCCACAGCGTTATGGGACCAGGGCCAGCAGTAATCGCGCGCGGCTGGCTGGCTGCGCATTACGATTGAGCTGTGGTGTAGAGAGGGGAGTGACCATAATAGCTTCACTAAGTTAAAGATGACCGATATGGTTTTATGACGTCAGTTAGTCCTTGTTCTCGGTGGAAAAACCACATGTGACGCGACACTGTATGACTCATCACAGACGCCTCGTGCAGAGGAAGGGCTTCACCCCCCTACGCTTCTTATGTTTTCGGATCCTCAATGCGTGGTCATATGGTAGTGAGGCCACAGTGAATCAAACTCTCTACTTCTTCCTAAAGAGCCCAGGCACAACAAAACTCCTGTACTTCGCG